TCCAGTGCCTACAACACTGGTGAGAGCTGCCGCAGCACCCCTCTGACTCTGGAACTGTCTCCAGATAATTCACTCCGTAGAGTAGCAGAAAACCAAGCTGGGCCGTCGGGCTCCAGCGGCAGGATGCTGAAGCCCCTCCTGTCTCCGGTGCAGGAAGCTTGCAGCCCGAGCCGGAGCAGAAGCTCATCCAAGGATCCAGATGGAGCGCTGCAGGCAGAGGGCAAAGAGAGAAAGCCCGGAGAGTCTAGTAAGAGCGGGCGAGGCTTCTCTCAGCCGCACTCACCTTACAAGCACGCTCACATCCCCGCCCATGCCCAGCACTACCAGAGCTACATGCAGCTGATCCAGCAGAAGTCAGCCGTAGAGTATGCTCAGAGCCAGATGAGCCTGGTCAGCATGTGTCGGGATCCCATTACCCCCAGCGACCTGGAGCCGAAGATGGAGTGGAAGGTGAAGATCCGCAGCGACGGCACACGTTACATCACCAAGAGGCCCGTCCGGGACAAGCTGCTGAGGGAACGCGCCCTCCGGATTCACGAGGAGCGCAGCGGTATGACCACAGATGACGACGCCATCAGCGAGCTGAAGATGGGCCGCTACTGGAGCAAGGAAGAGAGGAAGCAGCACGCGGTGCGTGCCAAGGAGCAGAGGCAGCGCCGCGAGTTCATGAAGCAGAGCCGAGCCGACTGTCTGAAGGAGCAGGCCACCCTGGAGGACAAAAAGGAGCCGAACATCATCGAACTCAGCCACAAAAAGATGATGAAAAAGAGGAATAAGAAAATATTTGACAACTGGATGACCATTCAAGAACTTCTCACCCATGGTACCAAGTCACCAGATGGCACGAGGGTGTACAACTCCCTCCTGTCTGTGACTACGGTCTAAGTCCTGTTCAGGCCTGCTAGAGGAGAAGAGACTTGAGTGTAATGGTCTGTACATAGGACTCTAACAGCTGGGGTGCAGATTCCTGCCTCGTTCAAGGTGGCAACACGTGTAAATAGGAAATAAACACCTTTTCTGTGTGAGCATTTTCCCCACTGCAGTGAAAAGAGGGCTCCTGAAACAACGGTTGGACCTCGAGTGAGTTGGATTAGGAGACCGTGTATGAGGAAGATTTTGGAAGCATAATTCAATAATCTTTTCTACCTTCGTGCCTGCTTTTTTGAAGATTTTTTTGAAACACAAATACAATATTTGACTTTTTTGGAAGGTTTTGAAAGTGTGTAAAGACAGTGTGCCATACATTAAAAAGCCAGCATTTACACTATTTTACATTATTTTGTTCGTACTATATATCTCTTCAGTATTTTTGCTGTAATGTGTACGTAATGCTTTTACCAAAACAATATTTTCCTGCGAGGTGAAACACTTAACCTTTTCAAAAGGACTTTTTGTAAATTTAAAAAAAAATCCAACTTTTGTATCAAATTCACTTTGTTGTTTTGCTTTCCCTTGAATGGTGCTGATGTCCCAAAGTTTAAAGCCACCAGCGATGTACCGTCTGTTACATAATGTAGCGAGCATCATAACGTGATATCACCATGTATGTACGTATATTTAGAGAAAGACATTTCTCACGTTGCTGAAACTGAAATGTCTGTTTGTTCAAGCACACACTGTAGTTGCTTTGGTAGGGTTTCATGTATTGGTCAGAATAACAGCTTAAGCAAATCTTTAGTTAACCACCCAATTTGATGTCTTGTAAAATGAGAGAAATAATAAATTATTGTTTTATATATGACGAGCTTTGAAAACTTGTGGGAATTTTGTCATTTATAAGAGATGTTGTTTATTTCCTTCTGGCATTTTAGCATTTAAGTGTTTTTACTCATTAAGGGG